GGGGGCCCGGCTCTGGCTTCCGCGCGCACGTCTACCTGTGCAACCGGCCTCTGTGGCTCAAATTCCACCGCCACCAAACGGAGATGATCATTACGAAACAGGGCAGGTGAGCGCCGCGCGGAGGGGCCCCTGGGATCGGGGGAGAAGGGGGGGCGCGTCCCGGGCATGGCCGGGGTAGGGAGCTGCGCCCACGCGCCCCTCGCTCCGCTGGGAGTGTCTTTCCGCGCGCAGTCAGCCTCGGGGGCGCGGCGGCTCCCACGCGGGTCTCTCTGCGTCCGCGCACCGGAGGCCCGGGCAGGGTGCGACGTTCCGGCGGCACCCTCCCCTCTCCGCCCCTCGTCCTCACCCGAACGGCCCGGGAGGTGGCGGAAATGGAGATTGGGCAAGTCTGCAAGCTGGATGCCCGAGGCCCTCGGTATGCGGGCGCGTGCCTGCAGGCCGGCGAGGAGCCACGGGTGGGGAAAGGCCTAGAGCCGGCCACCTGAGCGCAGTAGATGGGCTCCCGCAGTTTTAGGCGCCAGCGTCGCCGTGGGGCGCCTCCGGGAGGTGGGCGTGAGGACCTGAGCGCCGGCCTCCGAAGGGGTCCCAGGAAGTGGTCAGACCGGCCCTGGAGCCAGACCTGGCTCGGGTTCGTTGTGAGAGAAAGTTCTGATGCACACCCGTTTGCTAACAGTGTTCCTCTGGGGGGGCGGGGAGCGAGGGGTACGCAGGGGACTCTGAGGCTTAAGTGGATTTTTGGTTTTTGTTTTGAGTTGTAGTCTCTCAATCCGTCGCCCAGGCTGGAGTGCAGTGGCACGCTCACGGCCACCGCTGCCTCGACCTGCTGGGGTTCAGGCGATCCTTCTGCTTCAACCTACCAAGTAGCTGGAGCTACAGGCGCGCGCCACCACGCCAGGCTAATTTTTTTTTATTTATTGTAGAGATGAGAGCTCTCCAGTTTACCCGGGCTGGTCTCGAACCCCTGAGCTCGTACAATCCTTTCGCCTCCACCTCCCAAAGTGCTGGGATGACAGACATAAGCCACCGCGTCTGGTTTTAATAGATGTATTTTTTTTTTAACAAGAACATCTTGATGTTGTTCTCTGTTACTTGGGCACTTAAAAATTAAGAATTGGTAACATTTCGTGGGAAGTATTAACGCGTGTCTAAAAGGGCCGAAGACTTGAGTTCTCGTGAATGTGGGAAATACTGACGTTGAGGGCCTTTTTTTTTTCCTTTTTCCGGAAAAGAGAGAGACGTTCCAAGAGTTGCCAACTGAAAAAAATACTTGGAAATGATAGAGTCTCGGGCCACTTGATCTGCGAGTGTGCCGTTCCCTGCCAGCTTTGGAATGTTGAATGCGACCTTGCCCCAGCGCCCGGGGAACCCGCCGGGGTCTGGGCCGGTCCTGGGGCCTCCCGACTTAAATCGCGTGTCCCGGCTCCGTTCCTTCGCACAGGCGCATGTTTCCCTTCCTGAGCTTCAACATAAACGGACTCAATCCCACCGCCCACTACAACGTGTTCGTCGAGGTGGTGCTGGCGGACCCCAACCACTGGCGCTTCCAAGGGGGCAAATGGGTCACCTGCGGCAAAGCCGACAACAACATGCAGGGTGAGGAGAGGGGCGGCTGGGCCGCGAGCGGGCGGTGAAGCCGTGGGAACCCTTGACTCCGAGAGGTCACATTTTGAATCCTGCGCTTTCTCCCTCGCACTCTGAGGCCTAAAGGTGTCGGTCTGAGTGTCTTTATGCTGACTGTGTGATGGTGAGGTTTGCTAAGGCAGCATTCCTGCCCACCGATGAGTCTCTGACTATGGCCCTGCCCCACCCCCCAGCAAGGCCTACGTTTGAGAAACTGATCATCTCGCAAGTTCCCGGGGTGGGGGCGAGAAGGGCTCCTGGGATCCCAGGGTCCACTTGAGCAAGCCCTCGCCAGGGTTAAGTTCCCCCATAAAAGTCCAACTATCACCTTCCTTCGTATGTTGGCCTTCTGACTCGAGTAAGGCCCCAGACTGACCTTTAAGAGTCATCGTCCCTTAGCTCCGTTTTTAAACTTTGAGATTCTGTTAGGATGAGCACAGGGGCCCCAGGAGAGAGTGCCATGGAGTCCTGCTGGCCTCCACCGGCCTCCCCTTCCGCTGGGAGACGAGCTGCAAGTCTAGCTCTTATATCTTCCTGGTAGCTGACAGACATCCCTTCCCTACCCACATTTGCAAACAGCTCTATATCCTTGGGTTTTGTGTTTTGTTTCATTTTCTCTTAGGCAACAAAATGTATGTTCACCCAGAGTCTCCTAATACCGGTTCCCACTGGATGAGACAGGAGATTTCCTTTGGGAAATTAAAACTCACCAATAACAAAGGCGCAAATAACAACAACACTCAGGTAGAGTGACAGAGGAGGAGGGGGTGTCTTCTGGCTCTGGCCTTGGCTCTAAGTCTTTTTCCTCCTGAGAGTCCATTCTTTCTTCGCTGTGTTTGTGATGTTTACAGTCGTGAACTGTTTGCTCGCCTATTTCTAACCTTTTTTTTTTCTTTCGACTTTTCTCATTTTCACTTTCTTACTGGATTTCAGTAACAGTGAGTTGACTATCAGGAACCAAAATACTGAAGTACTTGGAAATTTAGGAAACTAAGAGGAAAGAGTGTTTATCAAATGCACAGACCTAACTACGTTTTAAGTTTCAAAAGTGACAATAAGAAGATCCTTTAAATGGCAATACACAAAGAACACTTAGCGGGAAGCATTCAGGGGTCCCATTCCAAAACGCATAGTTTGTCAAAACCTACTCTTGTTGAACCTCCGAGAGGCTTTTTAGATTTAGCAACTTTGTTTTTTCTGTACCCTTTCCAGATGATAGTCTTACAGTCTTTACACAAATACCAGCCACGACTGCACATTGTTGAAGTTACAGAGGATGGCGTGGAGGACTTGAACGAGCCCTCGAAGACTCAGACTTTTACCTTCTCAGAGACACAGTTCATTGCAGTGACTGCCTACCAAAACACTGATGTGAGTGTCCCAAACATGCCAAGAATCTCTAAAACTAAAGTCGGGCACAATAAAGCGCTCATGACTGCTTCTCTCCCCTATCTAGATTACTCAACTAAAGATTGATCATAACCCCTTTGCAAAAGGCTTCAGGGACAACTATGATTCGTAAGTTCAGCTTTTCTTCACCCTTGCATGGTCATCTTTGAACGAGATGTACATCGGCAGACACTTTGCTGAGAATGTATTCTAGGAAGAGCTCTCAAGTTTGGAATTTTTACCTATTTTTATTTTTGCTTTTTTTTTTTTTTTGACTTTATTAAACTTGCCTTTAGAATTTTCACAAAAGGATTTTAATTTCCAGAGAAATGTTAACGGACACATGTTAAATGTCAAGGATTAAAATGAGGTGTCTTTTTTCAACATTTGAGTAGAGACTTGAAATTTTAAATATCTGCTTTTATATTCCTTCCTTTTCTTTTCTTTTCTTTTTGAGCTGGAGTCTCACTCCGGTCGCCCAGATTGGAGTGTAGTGGCCGCTCCCGGCCACCGCAGCCTCGACCTGCTGGGCTCCGGTGATCTTTCCGCCTCAGCCTTCCGAGTAGCCGGAACTACAGGCGTGTGCTACCACGCCCGGCTAATTTTTTGATTTTATTGTAGAGATGAGGTCTCGCCTGCCCAGGCGGGTCTCGAACCTGCGGGCTCAGGCAATCCACTCACCTCAGCCTCCCAAAGGCACGGGATTACAGGCTGAGCCCCCGAGCCCGGCTTATACCTTCCTTTTCATTTGATCCAACTTCTTTATCCTACCAAGAGCAGATATCATTACTCTCCTCACCCCGTTTTTTTTTGTTTTTTTTTACATAAAGAAAACCTGACACTCAAAGGATGTAGTTTCACAACCTGAAACAGTAAGGCCTTGCTGGTTGTAAAATCTGGGCTTTCTAACACCACAGTCGGTGGTCCTTCCATCACATTGATGAGGGAGGTTTGCTCCCAGGTTTTCACGTTCCAGGACAAGTAAAGGGGAATTTTCTATAGTTTAAATACTTAACACCTTGGAGGGAACTTTTACTTACCTGATGGGAAACTTTCTTCCCCACAAACTAAGAGTCCAGCTGAAATGGGCTGTTGCACCTCTGCCTCAGTTCCTCTGGCCCAATAGGCCAGACGCAAGCCTTTTTCTTTCCTGGGAGGCGGTTTATTTGGGGACATTAGGGTTTTTGTTTTTTTAAGTGTTTCTCTTTATATTGTAGCATGTACACCGCTTCAGAAAATGACAGGTTAACTCCATCTCCCACGGATTCTCCTAGATGCCATCAGATTGTCCCTGGAGGTCGGTACGGCGTTCAGTCCTTCTTCTCGGAGCCCTTTGTGAACACTTTACCTCAAGCCCGATATTATAATGGCGAGAGAACCGTGCCACAGACCAACGGCCTCCTTTCACCCCAACAGAGCGAAGAGGTGGCCAACCCTCCCCAGCGGTGGCTTGTCACGCCTGTCCAGCAACCTGGGACCAACAAACTAGACCTCGGTTCCTATGAATCTGAATATACTTCCAGCACCTTGCTCCCATATGGTATTAAATCCTTGCCCCTCCAGACGTCCCATGCCCTGGGGTACTACCCCGACCCAACCTTCCCTCCAATGGCAGGGTGGGGAGGTCGAGGCTCTTACCAGAGGAAGATGGCAGCTGGACTTCCATGGACCTCCAGAACGAGCCCCCCTGTGTTCTCTGAAGATCAGCTCTCCAAGGAGAAGGTCAAAGAGGAAATCGGCTCTTCTTGGATAGAGACGCCGCCTTCCATCAAGTCTCTAGATTCCAATGATTCCGGTGTGTACACCAGTGCTTGCAAGAGAAGGCGTCTGTCTCCCAGCACCTCCAGTAATGAAAATTCTCCCTCCATAAAGTGTGAGGACATGAATGCAGAAGAGTACAGTAAAGACACCTCAAAAGGCATGGGAGGGTATTATGCTTTCTACACAACTCCCTAAAGAGTTCTTTTAACCTCATCAAAATTAGCTAACTTTTCGCAGATGGACTTGGTGTTTTTTGTTGTTTTCTTTGCCTAGGTTGCCAAAAAGATGTTTGCCTTCCACCTTGATGCATCCTGTTTTGTGCAATTCTCTAAAAGAAGGTGCCAAAGCTTTTTGATTGCTGCAGGTAACTGAAACAACCCTAGCATTTTTTTTTTTTAAATAAATGAATGGAGGACTTTAAAGTGTTTTAAAATTTAAGGTTATTCAAGGTTCTGGATTTATTTATTGGAGACACTAAACATTCAGAGAAGCAGACTGTGAGCATTGTGCTATCAAATAAGTTACAAAACTTTGGATTCTCATTTCTATTTGTAAATCCTTAAGCAAATAGAAGCCGGGTGTTAAGGTGATTTGCTTCTGGAAGAGGGCTGGGCCTTAAGCTTCCACGGGGGACGGATTTTTGCTGTTACATTTTTGCCAGGGGCAAAAAAAAAAAAAAAAAAAATGTTAGGCCTAAGAGTCAAGAACAACTTTTGCTGAAAGTGATGGTTTTACCTGATTCTGATTCCTCACCCCAGGCTTTTGTAACAAGCCACTTTTGCCCTAGTCCAGGATTGCCTGAGACTTGGTAGGCCTCTGCTGTGTGCTTGGGATGGCCGGTAGGACTCAGGAGGGGGCAAAGGAGGGAGTCGCCAAAAAAAAAAAAAAAGAGAGAGCATTTAAAATGTACAGTTGTGTGTGTTTAGATACACTGTAGCGTAACGTGGAATATATTGTACAAATAGTCTACATAGGTGTCTGAGATAATGGACAATCGGTGCTTTGGCTTTGTAAAGAATCTGCAAATCACCTAACAACAGCTGCAGGGTCAAGGGGACAGTCATCATCCCCGTGATATCTGGGGCTATTCTGTTTACTTCTTAGGTAGTTAAGAATGTATTCAGCTACTCTGTACTAACTTGAACCGTGTTTAAGGAAAACTCTTATTTCCTAGTTCATTCTCCTTCGCCGTCCCCTCTCCCCAACCTGGTAATGTGAAGGAACTAAAATCTGATGCCACAGCTCCTTATAGGCTTTTTAGAGATCTTGGATTTTTATGTACAGTCTTAGTCATTTTTAATAAATGTGGTTCAATAAGGGAACGGCCATAGCTCTGTCTTGTGTACTGTGGGTTTTAAGCTTTGTTTTAAAGATCTTCCAGCAGGAATACTGCCTCACCAATCCTCCTCCCCTTCATGGAAGGCTCTAGAATTTCTGACTGGATACCGTAGTCGTGAGGGGGTGGGGACGCTTTTGTTTATCTTCTTTTTTTTTTCCTTGAAATGGAATGGGGCGATTTCCTCACCCCACTGGGAAGTCTGGACAATGGTTTTTTTTTTCGGGGGGGGGGGGTTGTGAAGGTGGGGGTGGGGCGGGAGTGCTGCCGGCAAGAGGCAATACTGCCCACGCCAGACTTAATCGAAACCCCGAAAACCTCCACTCCCGGCCTTTGGAGACCCGGCTCTGCCGCGCCCTTGGCCACTTCATTATCTGGGCTTTTCTTCTAGGCTTCTCTGGGGCCACCCATCCGTGCGCCCACGGAGGCTCCCCGGGAACCCCCATGACCTTTGAGCGCCCACGGGTTCCGGAGCTCGCGCGCCCACCTGCCACTTGCTTCTGAACCGAGGCACCCCGGCGCACCCGGTCGCCTCTGGCGCTGCCCGCGGTCACACCCGCTGGGGGAGGGCGAGGCGCGCACGAGGGGGGATTCCAGCCTCCCACGCCCCGCCGCTCGGCTCACAGCGGCAGGGGAGCCGCTCAACTTGCGCTGAGCTCCGTTCTTCGGCTCTCCTTCCCCGGGAGGACGAAGGACCGTCCATCCCCTGGCTGAACGCGGGGCCAGCCCTAGAGCTGAACCGAGGCGTGCCCACGGGTTCCGGAGCTCGTGCGCCCTTTGTCCCTTCGCCCCCACCCCGCCAGACGTCCCGCCAGGCTTATCGGCAGACGACTGCAGGCCCAGCTTGCAAACCTCTCCAGCCCCCGCCTGACCCGCCCGGGGTAAAGGTCTGGCTGGGAGGGTCATCCTGCCACCGGCGGGCGCGGAAATGCAGCCGCTAAGAGGATTAGCTACCCGGAGGCGCGCACTCAGCCGGGACCGCCTCCCCTTCTGCGCCCAATCGAGGCCGCCGGGAGCTTGGGCCTCGACGGTCCGGTCTCCCATCCCCTCCACCCTGCTGGGGCCTGAGCTCTCCCCGCGCCGCCCGTGACCTCGGGGGCTCGAACTCCAGCTCCGCGTTCCCGGCGGCGCCTGCTCAAAACGCTGTGGCACAGCCGCCCCGAATTCCGCCGGGAAACCGGGCCCGTAAAGCCTCGCAGATCTGCTTTTCCAAGTAGGTGTATTGAGGACGGCAGACTCAGGCTCGGGAAGCGGGGGGCCCGGCGTGGCCCCCCAAGCCCCAACGTCGAATATGGGGAGAGGCGACGGAATTTCAAAACGCGCGTTCCCCTAGCCGGCCCTCCGGGGCCGCTCGCCGCCAGGATGCCGCGGATTCCGGCCCTCGTCTATTCCGCGTCCCGTCTATTTTTGCACCGTACAGTGAAAAGGAACCTGGCACTTGTGAAAAGTCCCTCACGGTGTTTAATAGAAAGTAAGTGGCTGAGTGGCCCCAATTAGCACCTTGTGATAAGGCATTCCTGAGATGGAGTGTCAGACACCAAATTGTGAAGAGATGTATCTAATTAATCCTCCTAGGATGACACCGATAAACAAGGCTCCATTTCAATAAAGACCAAGGACTCGGCGCCCCGTGTGTTGGCAATTCCCCGCCAGGGTCCCCGCGTCTGCGCCGCTGCGGGCGGGGTCCCCTGCCGGCTAGGGGTCGCGGGCTCGGCCCGGTTTCCTTCTCCGTGTTTGCCCCAAACTAAGACACGAATCAGTAACAAGAGAATACATACACCGCAGCGGAAGAGGAGAAAGCCGCGCCAGGGGGGGAGTTGGGTCAGAAATCACGTTATTCGCCATTTTCCACGCGTGGCCTTCACATGGACAAACACTTTTTGGTTGCTGGAGTGCGGGGGGGGGGGAAGAAGCCCACCCCCACCCCCCGTAGCCCCTGGGGTTCTTTTCTGCGGC